AGGGAGAGGTTTGCCGGGGGTCTGGCACTACTCCAGCGAGACCTCTTGCCGACTCGTGTTCCTTTCCTACAGGTGAAGAATAGCTTGTGCCGAAGCGATAACAATGATGGGGCTGTTCGCCACCTGTTACGAAAGCAGCATTTTGCTTCACTTTTGTCATTATGGTGTCTCGGTTGCATGATGTGACATTGGCGTGATTGGTCGAAGGACAGGTATTTCCGTGACAGTTGTGGCAAGACGACTGTCGTGACGTTATTGTCTTGCCATATACAATTTCCACTTTTGCAGTGATAACGTCTCTCGCTGGGTCAAATTAATTCGGTTGGATTGGTGTTTCGATTTTCGTTATATTCATCCTAAGCTTTCGATGTTTTAGCGGTTTCTTTGACGATAGCGGGGATTCCCGTTTAGTTGTGTAACCGGAAGTAGCTGGGAGTTAAACACAAAAGGAATTATTCTGGCGTAAAATGAGCGGCTGTCGGCTCAGGTTGTTCGCCCCGGTAATTCATCAGTGCACCACAAGCAATCTCTTGACAGGGACAAAAAAGAAGGAAATGAACCCGTTTGCACGTTTTTGTTCGTCTGTAAATTTTCCAAGATTTTAAAGAGCACTTAATTGTGAGTTGGCGTTTACAAGTTGCAGATTCACTCTTCCGTGTTGGTTTTGTCCGCTTTGTGGCTGTTCACGCAAGCAGAACTATGCCTCGCCAATGAAGTGGTCGCTCGTAGCAATGATTTATTCAACCAGGAGAAGATATGTGGTCGTGACGATTTTCTTCACCACGGCGTTTTGGCTGACTATCGAGTTGATACTACTAAGCTACACCAATCGCTTAAATGTCGAAATCTCTCGAGCAGATATAAATCAATTCTCTGATTCAAGGAGGGCTGCTACGTTCGCTTTCGAAGCGAAAGAAGCTTCAATTGAAGAATTTAAAGCGGTATACGTGACACTCATTCCCCCAAATCCTAGTGGACCGGGAGAAAGAGGAGAAGCAGTCTATAATGATCAAGATGACCCAGCTCAAGTAAGCAAAGAAAAAGACGGATACAAAAAGTATAGTTTTAATGAACTGGCGAGCAGTAAGATTTCTTTGGAGAGATCCATTCCTGATAATCGACCAGATGAGTAAGTACCCAACTTGCTATTTGCGTTCAGGTTTTTTTTCTGTAATTGATGTAGCTTCAGTAAACTTTGCTCTCCAAGTAAACATATTCCTTAGTTTCCACTGCAGTGTTGACTCTCCAGCGGCGAAGTAATTTCACGGCTTTGTGTTCATACGGCTTGCTCAGCCACGAAATTGATGGCGGAATCAAATATTTATCAACCGGTTTTTACGGTGATCAAAGATCAATTTGCCGATTTTGAAAAGATGCATTACGTTAACTTCAAGATAATTTGCCGTATTCGTATAGTGCGGTACTAAAGTTTTAAATATGTATTTCAGTGCGTTAAATACTGATGAAGTCTGGGGAAGTTTGTTATCGATTTGCAATACATAAACAAGTTTGACTTTCATCTCACTCTGCTGGTGGTGTTCACAGATCGAAGACAAAATACGGGAAAACAACGGTAGAATGAGGAACGCTAGCAAGTTACAGATTCACTCTAGCATTCTTTCACGAGTCAGGAAGTAACAATATTTCGCTTTAAAAATCATGAGAGTTGATTTTCAATATTTCGCTCTAGCTAAAGGCTATTTGATATTTTCATTAACGATGTTACGAATCTTATCTTCAGGGGAAAAATGTCTTAAAACTTCATTTAACCCATGGGTTTCAAACTCAAATTCGTTATGATTTAAAATCGTCCCATGCATGCAGATTTATGAAGCAGCAGTTTTTAAAAAAAAGGAAATGAAGGGAACGATTGTGAATATGCAAATTTGAAGTCGTGTCACGCCACAAAGCTAATGGACTTGCAAATTGTTCTTCTCACTGACAGGTGCCTCAGTCTGAAGTACCCGACTAGACTTCCCACTGCTAGCGTGGTTATTATTTTTCACAATGAGGCGTGGTCGACTCTTCTACGGACGGTACACACGGTTTTAGCGCGATCCCCGCTAGAATATTTAAAAGAAATAATTTTGGTTGACGACCATAGTAATTACGAAGGATATGGTAAGTCCTGTATATCCCTCTTTCCCCCCACCCCCTGCAACGGCAACATCTGTTATTCCGAGGACTTTTTTTGAGGGAGTGTACAGGGGGGGATGTATCTTTAGTTAATGAGGTATGAGTTTGGAAGTGACTGCGACAGGTCTCTCTCTGAAAAAAATGCTTCGTTCTTAATGATTCTGAAACATGTCGCTGCTGGTAGTTCTAAGGTAGTTGTCATCGCACAAATTCAAACCAGGTGGTCTAAATTTGTGAGAATATATAATACAGGGAGAGAATTCTCTGCGAGGTAGGAAGCTTTTTATTTTCGCAACGTCTTACGAAGCGGATTGTCGTCTAGAACGAGAATCCACTTGTCTCTCAAGAGTGATGACCTTTCAGAAAAGAAATAATTTCCCAAGGAACATTAATTGCGATGAGAAAATTCTATTATCCTCTGTTGACCACAAATGGTAGTTGATATGGTCGCTGCCAACTAAGCAACAAACTGTTTAAAGTTGTGCTAAGTTTTCCAGGCGGTTTAAAGCTAAAGGCTGCCTGTTCAAGCTTAAAGATGAATCCTTTTTTATTTTGCTTTGATTGTTGGTTTGTTTTTTTGTTCAAACAGAACTTAAAAGCTGTCAACGCGTGAGATATGGAAAAATTATATTTCCATACCGGCCTATGATCACTTAAAATGTGCTAAACATAAAGATAATTGACAAACACGAACCAACATAAATATTTTGCTGGCGTAACACAGGTTTCAGTTCTTGTGTGGATGTTAATAGACCCTTCCACTTTTGTTTTTGGTTTTTTTTTTTTTCGTATTAACTTGGACCATAATTCGAAATTTCACAGACAGTTCTGGAAGGAGTGTCCCAAAGCATTGTATCTTTCAAGTCTAAGGTCAATCAGTTAAAAACTGACAAATAGAGGATATTACATGACCCTTTACATGGCCGCTTGGGTATACGAATTTTATCTTCTCGTGCTGAAAGTATCTCTCGCGAGTTCGCTGCGCTCACTCGTGAGAGATACTTTCAGCTCGAGAAGATAAAATTCGTATCCCCAAGCGGCCATGTAATGTTCTGTTTATTATATAGATACTGATGAAATTTCCACATAAAAGACAACTTTTTTTATTCATTTTCGAAACATCAATTGGGTAATTATGTTGGTAACCATGGCCACACCAATATCCTCACACGTGAAAGATAAAAATAGTATCTTCACTGCGCGCGGTGAAGATATGATTTTTAGTAAAAGGAGAAATCCTGGTATTTCATCAGTATCTAAATCATAAATAAATAATCTCGCAAATACGACATATTCTACAAATGGAAATCCCCTATAATGCAAACGTATCTGGAATGTTCGATTCTTCGGGGCCACTTTGTGTTTGTTCTCAGCAGTCTTTTCCAACCTGGCGGCTTAAATTATTTTAAAAATGCGCATCAAGTAGTGTCTATACGTCTACACAAACTGGCTCATGCTCAAAGTTGAAAACAAAAAGGAAAGAAAAGGGAAAAAAATTCTTTTCTCCAGTTTTGCTCCAAACAAGCGTGCCTACGATGTTGCTTGATAGCCTTGAAGATTCTATACATTTAAAAATGCTATGTTGTTTAACACCTGGTGAGATTTTTGTTTTAATTTACACTCGCAGGTGTTTTTGTTCAATATCAAAGAATACTTTATCCTGTTGAGTATCTCTCGAGCATTCAGAAAATATTCCTGATCGAAGATTAGAGGACCTCTCTAACAGAAAAAAAAAATGAAATAGCCGGGTTGAAAATGCGTTTTGAACTGAAAAGCTCAATAAAAAAACTGAAAAAAGAAAGACAAAATCAAAACCTAATCAAGAAACAAGATAATTACGTTTCGCTCGCGCGATTACTATCTTAGTTACTGCGATCAAATTATATAGATGTTGCTTCAACTCAATTCCGATTTTTATTTTTGGCAAAAAAGCATCATTTCTTTCATTGCTCATCAATTCCCTCACTTAATCTGTTTTTTTAATTTCCTTTTTTTAAGTTTTTCTTTTTTAAACTTCGTTTCCGCTTTTCATACGAAATAATTTGAGTTTAAACTTTGGACACCCACTCTTTTCAGTTAATGACGCCACTTCGTCTCTCGATTTCTCTCATCAATTTAGATTGGAGCGATTTGCATTATAGTACGAACGTCGTGATTGGGCGTATCGCAACGGTAAACCTATAGTTGTTTAGCATAAAAGCAATGGATCATACTTTATATCGGTCTTTTGCTTGATTAACTGAAATTAGAAATATATATTCTGATACGCTTTCCTTCGACTGTTTCATTGCCTCTATAAAAGGTGAAAACGTAGTTGATAGCTTCATACCAATTTTTGTGCCAAGCTGCTTGGTTTGAAGAAGCTCACAGAAGATTATAAATTGGTACGTATATTGTAAATTGATACGTATATTGCTTGTCTTTTCATTTCGTTTCCCAAATATTGTTCTTTTCTTTTTTTTTCAGCCCATTTAAACGAAAAGCTGAGTTCGTACATCCAACAGTTTCCCAAAGTGCAGCTCATTAGAGCGAAGACCAGACAAGGTTTAATACGCGCCCGGCTGATCGGCGCCAAACAAGCTAAGGGCGATGTTCTTGTCTTTCTGGATTCCCATTGCGAGGCTAACTACGGTTGGCTGGAACCGCTGCTTGCAAGGATCGCACATGACAGGACTATTGTCGTTACCCCGGATATTGAGGTCATCGATTTAAGAACGTTTTCTTATGCTAAGGGTAAAGGAGGCTATAATCGAGGGGTTTTTAATTGGGAGTTGACTTTCAAGTGGAGAGCATTGCCAGACTATGAGAAGGAACGACGTAACAGCGATGCTGACCCTATCAGGCGAGTCTAACCTTCTTTATTTTAGCGTTGTCATTCACACAGTAGTTAAGAAAACCTGTAGAAATTCAAGGAGGGGCAGTATGTGTTTATGCGTGTTTGGAGGGGGGATGGGAGAGGGGAAATGTGAGGGGTTGGCGTCCTTTGCAAAGAATGCTCCTGGGTTTTCAATGATTTGTAAACTGAGCTCAGCTCAGGTCAATGATATCGTATACTGCATGTCTTTACTTACTCTGTTTCTCATTGTCGTTATGATTGTGACCATTTTGTGGCCAAATACATGGAGGTACATGGGCACTTCATCCCGTCTGGGTGTTATCTGCTTTCGCGAGATTTGTCTACACTGCTCTACGTGGGAGTTGGAGATTTGTGTTTGCTATCCTCATTGGTCGTTTGTCGCACGACGTAATCTCTTCAAATCTGCATCGCGACACTTTATCTGCATTTTGGCAGTTTCCATCAAGCGACGATGTCGAATGTTCAAGCTTCTTCATATGGAACATGTTTCTCCACTGTGATTGTGTTCTTCGATGTTTTAAAATTTGTGAAATGTTCAGCAAGCAACCGTGGACGATAATCCTACTCTTGTACGTTGGGTCAGCAGTGATCTAATCGGCCCAAAATAACGAATATAAATATAGAGGCAAGACCGATACAACGTAGATAAGTTTTAAAACGGAGCACCTGAAGAAGGCTGGTTTGGCCTGCAAAAATATAGTGCTCCGTTTTAAAACTTATCAACGTTGTATCGGTCTTGCTTCTATAACTAATATTTGATTTTCTCTGCAGGTCACCCACAATGGCTGGTGGGTTGTTCGCAATGGACAGAACGTACTTCTATGAAATTGGTTCATATGATACTGAAATGTCTTACTGGGGAGGAGAGAATGTCGAAATGTCCTTTCGGGTAGGTTCAGTTTACTCTGACCAGCAGGTAAATCTCTTATATGACCAAAGAAAAATTTAAAAAAAAAAAAAAAAATCAGGGAAATTGTTTAGTGATCACGACAGAGCTTCATTTCGTCGAGTGTTGCGACTTATGTCACCAGCAATAAAATTTTTAACAAATAAAATGGACTCCCGACTAAAGTGATAGCGAGCAGCTCTTCGTCTGTGAAATCTTTTATTTCGAACTGAATGCTGGTTCTGAATTTCCTTTCTCTCCGCCGCTAGCGTAAATCAAAAAACAACAAGTTCGCCATTTTTATTCTTTATTTAACCGGAGGTTAGCTATTCAACCCTGCTCGCGTGATGGGTTAAATTTATCCGCTGTTTAACCCGAGGTTAGTGTTAACCTTCTTCGAACAACGCGACCAAAATTTTACCCCAGGGTTAGGCTTACTTAACCCTCTTTTGAACAACCCGGCCCAGAAGTCTGGGTCCTCTATCAAGGGTTACTGTGTAGTGTTCTTGGACAGGACTTTGCACTCTCTGGTACAGTGCCTCACCCAAGGATATAAATGGGTACTGGCGAAGTACCAGGGAAGCCTGATTTTATCTGTAATGGACTGATGACTCCTCTCGGAAGTGGTGCACATTTTCAAGTCGTTTCATGCCACAAAAGTCTTGATAATTTCTCGCAGTTACGCAAGTTTGATTCATATGCAGATATTATCTTTGAAACAGAATAGCCATAAGTCAAATTTAGTGTCGTGATTCGGTGAAATATGCCTCATTGTAAAAATGCAATAAGCGACAATGACAAGGTTAACGCCTAAAAAAGAGTTTGAGTTTCAGATTTACTATTTTTCCGCTCTAAATCTAGTGAAGAGAGGGCCTTCCCTTTTTTTAATATTCTACACCATCGATGCAAGTGTCATTCACTGAATAAAAGTTTGTCACGACGCATCTTAGTTAAACAACCCAGCCAACCACGAGTCTCCTGAACTCAGTGGTAGAGCACTCGAAGTACTAATCAGAGGGTTATAGGTTCGACTCCTATTGGGAGCCCTCGGAGTTCTTTTTCTCCGAGTATGCTCGTGTCATTTATTGAATATCATCTTCCGCAACTTCAATCACTGGGCTCAAACTTTTCCATCTTTTATTATTACATCATGCTTCGGCGCAATTCCAACATTGTTTGCAATTCCAACATTGTTTGCTTGACCAGAGGGTCGGAGAGTATTACCATAAGATGGAGGGTGAGATCGTTGAGAGCGCTCAAAGACTGTTGTTTTAACCCTTTTGGAATGTAAATGATGCTAGAATGGCACTATCGTTTCACTTGATTTCGAGAATTTCGTAGTTTTTGATCGTGGGAGCTAACTTCTGGTTCAATCATTAGATATGGATGTGCGGCGGATCTCTGGAAATTCTCCCATGCTCCAAGGTCGGTCACGTGTTCAGAGAGAGTCAGCCTTACAAGATCGGAGAAGGAGCAATTGACAAGAATAATATGAGACTAGCTGAGGTCTGGATGGATGAATACAAACAAATATTTTACGCTATGAGACCGCAGCTCAAGGATAGAACTTATGGAGACTTGTCCGAGAGAAAGGCCCTTAGAGAGAAACTTAAATGTAAGAATTTCAAGTGGTATCTGCAGAACGTGATCCCAGAATTGGACATTCCGGATATGTACCCGCACGGTAGAGGGGAGGTGACAGCGCTTTTTAACCATTTCTTTATTTGTTTTTCAATACTCTTTTTCCCTAATCGTAGATAAATGGTTTTTCGTACTAAGCCAGACTGGCTTCATTTTCCATCTTTTTCAAGCCACCACGGTTTTTTTTTTAACTCGTTCTTGTATTGACTCGTAGGTCCGTAATCTTGGTACTGACCAGTGTTTAGATACGTTAGCGAAAAATGAAGCAGGCGGCGAACCCGGCATGTATGTGTGCCATGGCATGGGTAACAACCAGGTAGGCATGTTTATACAAGCATTGATAAACCACTGACGAATGTCCTGCTTGCTCGGGGAGAGGGGGAGGGGGGGGGGCTGCACACGTTTTGGTTCTGTGTGCGCTTTGAAATGATGAGAGGCGAATCACGAGAGTGGGTGTTTATTACTATTATCCGTCCCAAAAGTCTCGCGGCTTTATCGCTTGACGCTTCCAAGCGTACAAAAAAACTGCCGGCTGCGTATCCTATTGCCCCGCCAAACAGGGGGCTTAGGTAAGCCCGTGTAGGCGATTTGAAAAGACGCGAATAAGCGAAGAAGTCAAGAACTCAACATTCTTGTGCGCCTTACTTGTGCGTAGTTACCATCTGACACCCTCCAATGAGGGCATACAAGCGATCTACTGCCAAAATAGAAACGGATTCCCCTAGATATTTTTAGGTAGACCTTTTTTATTTTAATCGCTATTATATCACTCTGAGAGACTATAAACTGTTTATAATCTCCTGGTCGGTGTTTAATGCTAACGATTTTTGAGCGATCGGAGGCTCAAACACCTGAGCTTCTCCTAAGCGAACTCTCGACCATACATCAGGTTCAAATATAAATACTTTATACCAATAATGAGCCGCCATATTTTCTGTATTTAGTTTTTCATGTATACGAAGAAGAACGAGTTCTGGCATGATGATTTCTGCTTGGATCTGGTCAGTGGGGATCCCAACACCAAAGTCAAGTTATACAATTGTCACAGACTTGGTGGAAACCAAAAGTGGGAACATGATAGGGTTAGTCACTGTTTCTGTTGATGGCCCGGGACAATGTCGAAGGCTGCTTTGGTAGGGGAGCGTACAAATTATTTCACTGTAGAGATGATCGAACTGACCGATTTTTGACCATGCGCGCCTCCGTCCCGGAGGGACTAGAACTAGTAAATCATTATGGGTTGGGACGTTAAAGAGAGAGCCACATGGAAATGATGTCATAAGTTTACTGTTACTGGTTGAATGGCTAGTTTTTACTGATCTTTTCCGGCCAAAAAAGAATTCTTTTGTTCCCAGGCTTTTATTGAAATAATTACGACACTGGTAAAATCCTTAAAACGACTCTCTGTCAAAGCTGGCGGCATTAAAAAAATATGAGTGTGAAAATGAGTGGTATTTACGGCTTTGGGGATATCGCCAACAAACAACTTGAAATTATTTCCAGCATTTCCGGTGAAAATCTGTCTCAGTTATGGGCATCTTATATGGTGTGAAACTTATTTTTCGGCCATGTGTCTTGTCCAGCAGGATGGAAGAATTCGTCATGTACTCCACGAAGTTTGCTTAGATGTTGAGGGGGATAGCCTAGTCGTACGAAAATGCGATAACCGCCAAACACAGAGGTGGAGATTCTCAGCTTACCCAGAGGAGGACAGAAGTAAAATTAGTCATTCTGACGTGTTATAACGATCAATATTTCAATTTTAGGATGTTTTTTAAATACTTTTTTCGCTAACTACATTAATTAATTCGATTATACCTTCGCCAATTAAAAGAAATTTTTTAGGAACAAGACAAAGGTGGAGTAGTGTTAAACTCTAGTTTTTAAAAGAGATTCTATCATGTATCGTTACAGTTCAGGTCCTAAATTTCTTAGTCTTCCTGGTTGTGTGCCGTTCAGAGCCCAGTTTTTAAAAGGGCGGATCACTACAAATGTCAGACTCACATGTTGTCAAAACATTTTGTTTTGTCCAAAAATGCGACTCAATATTTCATTTGGGTGGATCACTAGACAGGATTATTAAATAAAAATAGGCGTAAGATAACATCAAATACAAATTATTTTAAAACATTTATTTTCAATTTGATAATTTAATGAGGATAACTAAATTATAACTTATTTTTATGCTCTGAAACCAGGCAAAAAATAATATTTCGGTTTACCTCTTAATACTTTTCGGTGTCACGCTGAACATCAGTATTATGGACCAGGATGGAATCGTTGGCGAAATTTTAGATCAGTTACAGCAATTTACAAGTGAGCGTCGAAAGTAATATGGGATTACAGAACTGAAATTGGCGCCAATCTCTCCACCAATCAGATCCCAAACATAAACCAATCACCATTCAGTGATCTGTGTTTTCCCGCGCTTAGGGTCGTCGACGCGCGTTTACTGAGTACTCCTTGGTTCGTTTCGTGTTAAGTTGACCTTTGTTCTGATTGTAATTTGTTAACTAAGTTGAAATTGTAAAAAATTGGCCACCGTAACTGATTGGCTGTGGTGACTGTTTGGTTTTGTTTGGTTTTTCTAAAATAAATTTAAAAGCGCTGGATAGTAACGTTTATTTATTTATATAAGGATTTGTACCAAGTACTGGAGCAAAAACAATAGGACATGGGTCCCCTACGAGGTTTAAGCTCCAACAAACCCACCCATCCCACCCCAGGGGAGGACATCCATCATACAGTAATCTCGTGCGTGAGAAGTTAACGTCTCTTACCCCTAACCCTGTAGGAGACGGGACCTCCATTAATTCGTCCCTATCCGAGAAGACTAGAATATCTAACCATTTCCTGATGTTATAGAAGGGTAGCATATTCTCAATTATTTTAAGACCTTAAGTGTTGGTCCGGCCGGGGCTCGAACCCTCGACCTCCCGCACAACAGTCCAGCGCTCTATCCAATGAGCTAACCAGGAGGCGGTTAAACAAACAACAACAACAACAACAACAACAACAACAACAACAACAAAAGTATCAGTATACCCTTAATGACTGTCACACGATAGCGAGGCCCTGCAGAGAGATGTTTACCAAAATCTTTACCAAAACATTTAATTTCTGACAGCTGTTTGATGACAGCTATCGATTACGGACAAAGGATTCGAAGAAATTCATTTTCTGTCAGTACAGTGTAACAACGCCATTCAAAATCAATCTTTTCCAACGACTATGCTATATTTATCGAAAATGTAAAAACTTTGCAAAAATGGTCAATTCTGCTTTTTTTGTTCTTCTTTGTAATAAGCTATTAAGAATTCAGCAAATCACTTGAGTATGTCACAAACTACGTTACTGGCACAGCTAACAAAATTCCTATACTTAAGTTTATAAATATTTTCTTTACTCTAAGCGCAATCAATATAAATTTTTTGCGTAGAACTCGCTAATATCGACCTCATTCTAAATGTAATCTCTATCAGGTTACTACTATCAACGCTCTAAGGACCCCCCCTCCCTTTCAAACCGCTTTCTTTACTTAGCCCCACCCCCAAGAATTGAACCCTCAATGTATCGACATTCTCTCTCTTTACAACTAGACTCTATTACGCTCTTTCTCTTTTACTTTCTCTACCTACCATTCCCTTCTCTAATAAGCCCTTCTTTCAAATAAGCTCCCCCCCCCCATCTATTAAAACCCCCGTCCACCGCTTAAAACATTTTCTTGCAAGCCTCCCTTCTTCTTCCTCTCTCAAGTTCTAAAATAGCAGTTTTATGGTCATTTGTTTTATGGCATTGCAGAAGAAGATATACGTATTTTGGAAACTAAGAGGCCTAAACTGGTCTCCGTTTTTAATATAATAGCGTTTCGACCAGAGACATGCATGCTGTATGTATCAAATCTGGGTGAAATAAAATGACTGGGATTATCCCCCAGCAGCCAATTAATACATTTATGGTAATTTTAGAGTCGAGGCTCCAAATAACAATATCACTCGAGCCTCGCGTGTTTCTTGCGTGTAACATGACGCTTGTGTTACGTGTTCCTCGTAAGATTTAGTGAAGAACAAATAGACTGTACAAAGGATATGCACGCGAGAAAAATAGGCGGCACTAGACTGATTGTGTCTAGATCCTTCCGGGATCTGCAAAAACGTGAGTTGTCTAAAAATAACTTAACAGAGATTACCTAAGGAGCACGGCCCACAAAGGGAGTACAGTCTCTTTGCTTCATATTCTCTTCATATAACAAATAAATTCAACCCGTTCCATAGCGGGACCTTCAGGTGGTGTTATGAATCTTTGTACTTGGAGAAAACCCATCTCTGTGAATCGCGTCCGTCACAAGGATTCATAGCGACGTACTGGTCTCCACTGGATCCACGATCGAGGCATTGACCTGTACTCATGTGTTTGATAACTCCCTATCATAAAGAAAAATTGAGATAAAGTCTTCTAAAGTCTTCTCTTTGGAACCCCCTTTCCCAATACAGTTGGTTAAGCCGCAGAAACTTTGTATTGGTGTGTCCCACCATAAAGATATTTGAGACGATGATTGTGTCATGATGTGCCAAAAGAAGCATTAAGCCCTTTCTCTTTTTCTGTTAAATCTTTCCAGTAGCAGAGGATTTAACCACGAAAAACTACATTTCTATTTCAAGTTTGAAGACGAGGAAGGCAGTGTGTGTACGATTTCTCCAAGTTGCGGTTGGCGCATTATTAAGCCTTGATTATTTGATGGAATGTAAGTTTAGCTGTCGAGCAGGCCCTCGGCAAGAGCGTTTCTTCATCCCCAAGAAAGTATCAGGCCTTGAGCAACGCAAGCCGGCCAGAGGTCTGGGAGGAATCTTTTTAGTACCAGACCCCCTACAAACCTCTGCGCGAATTGTTTTGAACCTTACCGTGGGCCGATTAAGGCGCATCTCGAAGCGTTAGGAATGAGAACCGGCTCACACACTGATGCAAATTCTACCAATCTCCACACGATTTTAGCTTGGAGTAAGTGGTTTTGAATTTTGACACAAATCGATTAGATATATGAATTTGGGGGTTAGATTAGATATATGATTTTGGGGGATGTTGTTTTGATATTCACGTGCTAAGAAAGATACTAGATAGATCTAGCACCTCGTTGCGTTTCTACGTGAAAGTAACTTGTTACGCGTTGCCGTGTACGTAAGACTTTGCCGGAAAAAGGGCAAACTACTCCTTGTAAGTCATACATGGGCCTAAAGCAGCAAGGTTCACGCCATTTTACGTGAAATGTAAAAGGGCAAGCTGGCGTTTGCAGTTTCACACAAACACGGGATTAAATCTCTTTTATTTGTTTAAGTTCTCCGCCTTCAACTCGTGGACGTTCTTTTAACGTCCAAGAAATACTAAGCCAAATGGAGAATAATACTTCAGAATCCTTGCTTTAATTATGAAAAAGAAGTAAAAGAACTCTGTCTACAAACTTACGCTTTTTTTGTCGTGTTCCCATTTCTGATTGCCGCCCATTCCGTGACATTTCAAGATCTCCACAGGAGCCCCAGCATAAGACTTCGACACGTCGAGACAGTTCTCTTCCTCAAAGATTATCTCACCTTTTGACGACAATACCAGCATCTAGACAGGAGGATTATAAAAAAAAAAACAAAAACAAAAACAACAATTGTTGCAAATTGATGTGCCAAGCTCGTAGCCCGGGTCTCTCTATTTCCTGCTCATGCGCACTCTAGACGACAGTAGAGAGTTTGGGGGTGAAGTTGTCAGGGTTCACATGACAGCGTCACGTGATTCTTCGGTTAATTGAAAGAATTGAAGGGGCTCACATCTTACGGTCGGTTAGAGTTTTGATGAGAAGGGAGAGTACAGTCCAACAAATCAAATTGGTTTGTATTGATACGAGATGACAGGGAATCCTGCCGGCCGTTAAATCAACTCTTTCGTGACAGTGAAGAAACTGAAATTTTTTTTCTGGAATCTTTGGTTACGAAAACAAAAAGTGTGATCACACATTACGTCATCGGACAAAATGGTTTCCTCTCTTAAGTTATTCAAAAGTTTTCCGATAGAAGTAAGTACCCTCAAAAAAATCACTTGATTCTATTTAACACAAGGTATCACGATGTATGCGAACTTTAAAAAAAAAAAAAAAAGCTGAGAATAGATATTTTGTTCAAATTTCTCGAAACGTAGTTGCTTGAAAGCTGTTCCGCGAGGAAAACTGGTTTGTGCATTCTTTTCCAAACAACGCTAATAGTGCTAAGATAAAACGTCAATTTTTTGGCTTCATATGTAATCAATACTCCTCTTACTGTTGGTACAATACCTGTACCATGGTTACATCAAAAGTTCTTGAACAATACAGACCTGATTTCCACCCTGTCCGTGGCAAATATAAACTCCCATTCGTGCTGAGTGTTCGGGTTTGGCTCCAAGCGAGTCTAAGCAGTATCCACTTGCCGGGTTTCGAACCTAGAAGAGATAAAGACATCTTTTCCTTCAGCAGAAATTAAATAATCTTGAAACAGGAGTTTTTGGAATAATCACGATGTGAAATAATGGAAAAAAAAATTAAATGAAGTAACCCTAGAATCCTGTCAGGTTAGTTCCTGAGGTAACGTATTTTAGGGAGCTCTTCATTGCTTCTGTGGTGTCGCGATGACTTGCTGGTTAGAGGGCTGGAGTCTGGGACGAGAGTTCTGTGTCAGAGACCTGGTTTGGCCATTTTGTTGAGTTTTAGACAAGAAACTTTACCCACACAAAGCCTTTCCCCATCCCAGAGTATGAATGGGCACGTAAGAACTATGATGGGAGGGGGGGAGGAAAGGGTTGACTGCGGTTGCCTAGCAACCAGTTCTGGAGTACCATTTCTCGTCGCTCCTTCGAGCTAATGACACTAATAAAAGTTGCGGCGGAAATGCAACTTCGTACCACTAATACTTGACCCATCAAATGCTCCTTACCTCGCCACTGGCTGGCGGATTTAGCTCAGGCATCTGGACATCAGGGTAGATATTTTCTATGTACCACTTAAAGCTCTTGCACCCTAATCTCTTCCTCAACTCTAGGCGCTTGCTGATGTCTCCATACTCCATGTTCCTCGCCTGTGGCTTCTTGTTGTAGTAAAGCTCCTTGTACTCGTCCATCCAGACCTCCGCCAATCGATTGAAGTTCTTGTTGAGAGTTTTCTCGACTCCATCCGGGAATTTGTACGGGCTGGTGTACTTGCGGAACACATGACCAACGCGTGAACAAGGAACGATCTCCAGGCGACCACCACACATCCATATCTGTAAAATAAGCCCCCAGGTCTTAACTCTAAGTATCTGAATAACCGTACCTCACAAGAACAGCTAGTCCTCAACCCTTTAACTCCCCATGATCTGATTGTTTATTCTTCCCTCTAGCTTTTACACATTTCTTTGTAATTTCGTTATGAGAATTTGCTGTTAGGTCAATATACCAGCTTCTACCTGACAAGTTTGAGCATTCTCATCACTTATTTGCTGGGCAATGAATGGATATTGTAGGGAGAAGTTGCATGTTAATCATTTGTGGTGATTGGCCATTGGATCCCCTTGGTTTTAGTTTTACGACACTGAATCGGAAAGAGCTCTAGAGATACCAATCTAAGTTTGTTTCGTCAGTTGCCTTAAAATATCGTCCCACACCACCCACACAGAATAATGCACCGCGAACTGCTACAGTAAATAAGTCTCACCCTGAAGGAAAGCTCGAGATTTTCTCCTCCCCAGATGTCCATTTCTTCATCGTAAGATCCAAGATCAAAGAAGTACTGTCTGTGGATGGAGAACAATCCCCCTGCCATTGTGGGCGTCCTGTGTAAGACAGACAACAAGACACCATGTTAGTTCAAGACGTAATAAGTTGCTGTTTATAATATCCTCAATATACAGCAAAGCAATATTTCTCTGGATCTGCCACTGACTAGCATGGCCGTTTAAACCTTCTGCTAAGTTTCAAATCTCCTGTGCAATGTATCAAATTTCTATATCACTTTGCAGTTCCGTTCATTTAACTCTTCTTTCAAATGTATTTCGATTATTCCACCTTGTTTCCAAATGTGTTGCTCTGTCGGTAAATCTTAACCGCACGTAGAATATGTTCAACATACACTGAAAAAATATCTTTGTACTCCGAATGACGACAGCGATCCCAAGAAGAAAATTCCTATCACATGCTTGGAATGATCAACCTGTTTCTGTTAAGTCCGTCTTCACTTTCATTCCCTTTTGAATTAAACGATAACTTTTAAGACTAATTTTGTTTTGTCTCTTGACATTTTTTATGCCGTTACCTGATAGGATCCGAACTATCTTTTCGTAGTTTCTGTTCTTCCGGGGGAATTCCCTTCCATTTGAAGAACAAATCCCAGCCGAAGCCTCCTCTCTGATCAGCGTTTGCAGAGCCTTGGTACGCAAATGTGTCGGCATTCAGTACTTCGATGGCTGGGCAAACAACATTGGATCGTGACGCAGCAATTCGAGCCAACAAAGGCTCTGCCCAGCCTGGGGTCGCCTCACAGTGCGAATCAAGGAACGTGAGAACTTCACCTTTGGCAGCGTAGGCACCTTTTAAGCGTGCGCGAACAAGTCCCTCCCGTTTATCGTTCCTTAGCACGGTCACTTTGCTCATGGTTGCAACATGGTCGTCCAATGGTTTACCAAGTCTCTCTACGAAAAGGAAAAAACGTGAATACTAAACTATTTTTTCGCAAAAAGGGAAGTCAAAGGAAAAGGTCTCAGGTTAACAATCGAAGCTTATCTCAGTTTCTGTGATGCGACGAACCAAGAAGAGTTAAATAGTTTCCCCTTTTAGAGTCGAAAATGATCAAGGTCAAGGATTATAGTGGTTTTACTTTACTTCGCAGTATGATAAGACAGCGGTCAAACTCAGGGCACGCACAAAGGAATTGATTTTGGCCTTTCATGCACCGATTTCCCGCGAACACAATACAAAGACATTGAGATCTTGTTATCAGAGAGTGGTATTTAATGAGTTCATCAAATTAATATTGGAAAGTTACATCACAATTTATTCATTTTTAACCCTTTAACTCCTAGAAGTGATTAACAAACAATTTCTCCCTAAAATATCCATACATTCTCCAAAAAATACATGTAGGCAGGGCTCCACAATATCCGTAGCCAACTGGCTACAGACTAGTGGCTAGTGGTTTTTGTTTCCACCAACCAGTTTGGCTAGTAAACAAACTGAAATTGTTGTAGTGTCTTAAGATGTCACTAGCCACTTGGCTAATAAGTTGAAAAGTTGGTGTTGAGCTCTGGTAGGTAATGAGAATACTCAACAATATCAGCTAGAAGTTACCATGATCTGACACCAAATTCTTGTAAATAGTTTACAAGGAAATGTTTAACAGATAGTGAGGAAAATAACAGTCAGATCTTAGATTTTAAAGTGTTACTTCCTGCTAAAAGAAATAGAGATGTCTATTACCACTTATTATTTTACTCACCATCCTCACTGAAATCATCAACAACAATAACTCCACTGAGCAGATCAGGTGGTGTCCTGTTAATGACACTGTGTATGGTGCGAAGCAGCACAGAAAGACGTTCCTTGTGGAAGCAGATTATAACAGTTGTTGTCGGCAGCTTGCTAGGATATGAGTCATGTTTGGCCTTACAACTGTGAACAAAAGAGGGTTGCATCATTTTAATACAGTCATGTAACTTTTACTTTGTACGTATAGGTATAAAGAAGTTTGTTAACAATCAGGGAACACCCTCCAAGCTAGAAAAAATCCCCTGAAGAGAGGTGTCACTTAAGATTCTTCTTAAGGTCTCTGGTGTTCCTCGATTTTATTGTTCCAAAATTTGTTTCCCTTTACAAGGTGCTGTCTCATTGTAGCTCATTCAAACCATCTTCATGTACCAGTGGCAATACCCAGTACTTACTGACTGGGTTATACCCTTTCTTGCCTTGAGGATTTGTCTCCTGAATAATTTTCCAAGCTCTTGTATTTGAATAGTCTTGGGATAAATGTTTTTAGTTTCCTGGCCAAACTGTCTGCTAAAATAAATTTTTCACTATTTTCCAGGTTCGCTTTAAGAATTTCAAAGCAAATAAATCCTCCAGCAGATTTATTTCTTCCTCTTTGTTACCTTTCTACACAATTTCTTCATATTGTAAGAAAAAATGTCTTTTTTTTTACTCAGGGAGTTTCAGGGTTAAATCATTTCTGGTTAACTCCTTTAATTTTTTTTCTTTTTTGCTTGATTAAAGGAATATCAATTGTCAAATGGAAGCAACTACGCATGCACAGCGTTGGTTCCTTGGAAGTGGCAGCAGTGGACAGCTGTTTCGCTCTCTTTAGAGTTCGTCAGCACTGCATAGCCAACCTCTCATGAAAGACACAAGTTCTATGTAATGAGAGATCATAACTTCCAAGGTGGGCTAAAGTCTTTTTAAACCCCAGTCACCACATTACAATTACACATTACAGATACAGATGCCGGAGTTATTGGGTCCCTAGGTATCCGTTGATAACCAAGATGGGATGCAACCAATATCTCTCGATGTACTGTTGAAGACGCTTTTCCTTTCCCTATGTCATGCTAACATTGCAGCAGGTCCCACATTTGTAATGTGGTGACTGGGGTTTAAAAAGACTTTAGCCCACCTTGGAAGTTATGATCTCTCATTACAAAGAACTTGTGTCTTTCATGAGAGGTTGGCTATGCAGCGCTGACCAGCTCTAAAGAGTGCGAAACAGCTGTCCACTGCTGCCGCTTCCAAGGAACCAACGCTGCGCATGTGTAGTTGCTTCTAATTGTCAAATGAATAATAATTTACCTGGGAAAAAAAAAAATCAAACCAGACAGAAACAATGTTGACCCAAAATTTATTTCAAAGAACTCCATGCATGTCAGATAAACCAAACCCTTCAAACCTAAGAGGGACTTACAATATCACCCCTAAATCAAACATTAGGGTCACATAAAAAAGGGAATGATTACCAACCAAAGATGTTCTTGATTGTCAAACAGATTCTCCTAGTCAGCAACTTAGAAAATGTATAGAGAACAGTATGGAGAATATGCATACTGATGTTAAGGTGTCCAGGGCAAATGGTACATTCCGTTTTGAAAGTCATATCTTGCTGTCCGTTTCTTGAATTGAAAGGTTTCATTTTTCTCTAAGAAAACTATGTAGTACATATATCTCTCTATTATTGTCCCTACTTTTATAGGAACCATCATCTTTAAACATGTTTAAAGATTTCTGTCAGAAAGCTTTGTCCTATGTAAAGACAATAATTTACTGTGAAAGAAAGGCTATTTTTTCATTGATATGTCTCAAATTTGCATTGAACATTGAGCTCATCTTTTCAGCTGAACAAAGGACTTCAGTTGGAATAAAATGATTCTTTGATGCCACATTAAAAAAATATCACATGAACAATAGCAAACAAAAGAATCATTATAAAAAAAATGTTAAAACAAGATAAACAAAAACATGCACAGAACAACAGAAGAGTTTGTAGTCACACATAATTTACAGTCTTTCTGTTTGAAATCATAATGTGAGAAAAATGGCGCCATAACTTCAAACTCAATTTTAAGATTTTAAATCAAAATTCATTATTTTCCTTGGAAATAACTTTCCTTTTAGATTAATTAGGCTTTGAATTAATTGAAGGAAAACTTTACTTTCCCTCAACAATGAAGCACAAATTGAAAGAAGCAGGGAATGACACCTGCAATTCATGTTTTGTGGATATTGCACTTGACAAAATTTTGAATTCTAGAAGCTTTAAATTTTGCCGGCATTTGCCACCAAATTAAATTGATCAAAAACTGTGAAGAACTGAAAAGCTTTTCGAAAAAAAAAAAAAAAAAAAAAAAAAAAACACTGATATTATGGCACTCTACCATATTGTTAAAATTGCGATCCCTCACAGCAGATTAACCCATTTGGTCACTTGGAGTAGCCAAAAAGGAACTTTTTCTTTACAAAAGCAGCAAGCAAAAGGTTACCAGAACAAAGAAAAATCTCTACTGGGATCATATTGTTTGATGAAACAGAAAATTCTCAGAGCTAAACTTACATGAAATGAATGACAGACGGTATGGAAAATCGTTAAATGTAAGGCTGTATCTATGTCCTGAGAATGAAACAGCTTTTACCTGTCAGTAGTCATTATTTTCAAAAACTAATTGACCAGTATTCCTTCCTTATCCAGAACACACTTTAACCACACAAATAACTTGACAGAAAAGAAAGATTGCCAAAGTTGAACTTTGAACACGCATGTATATGCTATAGGCAAGGTGAGCAGTTACCGTGTTGAAGTTTTTGTCACCCAGCTGCACAATTACTCCTCCAGAAAAAAACCGTCATTTTTAAATTCATAGAATACATGATGCCATGGGTAGTATTTGGAAGTTTCTCAACATCCATATTTTAAACTTGACCATGGGCTCTAACTGACTAATCCAATATTGCAGCCACCAACATTCCTTTAAATTAGATGTCAGACAAATAACTATCATATAGGGAAGCAAATATAGTTTGAGCGAATCATAAAGAAAATAGATAATATAAACTGGAGACAAAACAGTATTTTCCACTCCAAGCACTATGAATTATTTACGGCAAACAACAGCTTTAACATAAACAAACCCTCTCACGAAGATTAATGTATTCCACTTTTTGTTCACAGACTTCTTAAACAAGTTTTCGTAGACACTTTGTGAAAAACGCTATGCTCAAATAGATAAATTCAAAAATTCATAAAAAGATAACAATTCTAATATTTAACCTGACCATCCATGACGACCAATAATTATTTCAATGTACAACATCAAATTAGCCGAGTCTTCCTTACGGAAAATCTGAATTGATAATCTACACCTCTAAATAACCTTCTGGACGAAAAAAGAATCGAGTTCATGCTCCCGGCTCTCTCAATAAATCTGATCAAGTCAGAATTTAAAAGAGTTTAAACAAACTGAGAAGTGGATTTAGCAACTACATGCAATATAGTCTTGATTAAAACAAAAGTTTGTCTTGCAATTTTAGAATAGTATCATCGCTGAAGCTCAGTCGTCCATGATTTCGCACACCGGAAGTGTTAAAGCACTGTTTTCTGAAACCTGAGCCTAGCTTCAGAAGCGCAAATGACGAGAATATCAAACGTTCAACTAATATTATTTGTGTAGATGAGCTTCTTTAACGCAAACGAACGTATAAGTATGTTTTAGATAAAGCACTTGAAACTTACCGGCCTCCCCTCACGTCCTCTAAAGTCCTGTCCAACGAAATCTTGTCGCTAAGTACCCAGTTGAAAGAATGATCGCCAAAATGTTGTTCCGCGAGTTTTTTCTCCTCATCGGACGTTAAATAAGCCGATTTACCACCTTCTCCGAGACCACCAGGATTCGTGCGTTTCGCTATGCTTGCGTCGTAAACTTCTCGAGTTCTCGAACCGCGGTTTTTCGGAAGAACACCCGCCAAAACATTCACGGCTTTGGCAGCGCTAGACAAAAGGCCGTCTTTGGCAGCCGGTTTTTCAGAAGAATCCTTTTCCCAGGGGTATTTAATGTGCTTTTGATGGTCGACAGGACGTAAGGGATTCACACCAGCTCCTTTCATGTAGTGATGTTCATCACTGTCCAAAACTACTGGCGCATTGAGCATTGTCAGTGATTCGCGTGTCACCTCACTATTGAACATGAGCACTAACACGGTAACGGAGAACCAAAACGTTGATGTAACAACTATTATGTTGAAGATTCTCCTGGAAGACATGATGAAAACTAAAGACTTTGTTTGGACGACCAATGTTTAAACAGTAGGCGACGGATGCCACGTCTAAATATTGCCACCATACGCTAAATTCCTGAATGATTTCAATACCGAAGGTGGAAGCAAATTGAAGTTTTTACTCACATCACGCATTTTTTGATCGAGATTTCCTCCAATGTCGCGACTTGAGTGAATTACTGCGACGCCAAACCACCTAGATTATCTCTAAATGGGATGCAGGCAAAGTAAATAACGTTTAAAGGGTTACACAATCTCTGTTAATAACATGTGGGTCGGGAAACCGGAAAGGTCCCTCAACCAGAAGGCTTGGTAGCCCGGCTAGGCTTCGCCCTAAGCAACCTAGCCTCATCCGAATAAAACTATGGAAGTTCGGAATCTCTGTGAAACATGTCTACCGAGAAAAAGCAAGTTGTGGAGAAAGTTATTTTCTTTTCGAGTCAATACGGATCGGACAAATCTAAAAGCTACACAGCTGAGAATTTAGCTGGGAACTCTTACAACTACCCGAATTATGGCGATTTTACACAAGCATTTGTTTTGGTGAGAATGATGATTTCCAAGTACATGCACACACCTCTAAAGCTGACTAAACATCAGTTACAAGTCACCAATAGATGTAAATTTAACAGTATAAGTAGTTTCTTTGTTTTTTAAAATACAGGAGTGACTGACTCTTCAAATTTAAAATCATTATTGAGTCCAATCGAACCAAAGTTAACTTGCAGCTCAAATTAACATGCAATGCCGGGTGAAGTTTTGAAAGCCTGGAGCGGCGTGCATAAAACTTCCATAAGTGCGAATTTAGATTCTCAATTACTCCTATGGTATTAAAAATAGTTTTTCCAAGATTAAGTAACTCTGAAACGAATCAATCAAAAATACAACCAGCTGATCGTTATTTAAGTGGATACATTTCTTTTTTTTTTTCAGAGATCTTATGGACCATGGTGGGAAATGTCGCCATCGTTCCGAGACCCTATTGATAAGTCAAGAAGAAAACTCATCAGTGAGGATTTTGTTGGTAGGAATAACAATTCTGAATTAGATAGGGAACGGCATAATCAACACATTCTTTGATGATGGGTTGATCTAATATACAGATTTAGCTAAGCCTAAAACGGTGGAGCTCGCATTTTTTTTCCCGCACATCTCGTCAACAAAACTAAAGCTCCTACTTTTGGAGATAATGTCGGAGTTGTTCTCGACGGCCTCTGCTTCAGCAACGACTTTTAGTTTGAACGCTAAGTTGTATGAAGAACGACGAACTTTCGGCATGATGATCGATTACGATAACTTTGAAAGAGAGCGATTGTTTGAGATAGGATTCTGAACTTAGGTGAATGTTTTGTTATGTCACGCATGGTTCTATTTATTTACACGTTAAATTCAACTTATCTGTGATTTGTTGTTACTTTCAATTAAACGACCAATAACAACTGAGTAACTAACCTACTTTTTGGTTACATGTTTCCCGAGAGGGAAGCTCCTTTTGTTTTCGGTTTATGTTAATTCATCTCAGTTAACGACACGAGTGGAGTACTTTGCAACTATTAGGTCTCGGCTTATAGCCGAATGTTTTGTGTTTATTTTTTATTTCAATGCAAGAGCTGCTGACATGAAGAAGTTTAGGGTCTCGGCTTATAGCCGAGATCGGCTTATAGGCGAATAAATACGGTATGTGTTAATAGAAGACTAAAGCCGTGGTGCTGGCATGCTCTCAGTACAGTTGACCACGCATGCTTAAAGTAGCACCTTGTATGGATGCCTGTACTGTCATAAGTCCAAATTTTTTCAGCTTGATGGGTTACTACTTCAAAATATAGAAGGTTAGATTTGCCATTTTGAGCCTTTTGGCAAGCAAATTTGGTTTTACGAAATAATTATTTATTAGAAACAACCATAAATTTTACTGAACATCTTTCTTTTCTTGGAATCTTTATAATGGGACCAGACTACACCCCAAAAAGGGCAGTAGTCCATTAAAGTAAAGGTTTTATAGAATGTCAAGGTCATTCAAGGCAGAAAATATATAAAATTAATAGAAACTCCTTTTGTCACTGTTTGTGTGTATTGATTTGAATCAGTTTCATTCTCTCAAAAGTGGTTGAAACAATTATTAACACAGAGTTAGCTTGACTCAGCCTTTGGCCATGTTAGAAAGAACTAAAATGCCAAGTCATCATTGTCAGATCCAAAAGCCGAGTCACAGTCACAGTCAGTGTCACTCTCTGAACCTTTTGATTGCAGATTAAGGGCCTCTAGAACTTCATCAAGGTCTTCCTCATTTACATTTTCCTCATGCTCTCTACCTACAGCTGTACCACTCTGAACAGCAATTGTCTCCTCCCTTTCACATTGCTCTCCCATTTCCTTTGTTTCACACTGGACAATCACCAGAGATGGCTCTGAAGTAGGATTATCTGACTTTGGTACCTTTGGAAGTTTTCTTCTCTCCTTTGCCTCAAGCCAGACTCTGGCAGCTTCCTTTACAACAGGCAAGCAGCTCTGGACACCTGGTCCATTTATTCCCACAGCTAGTATTGCTCGCAGCATGTCATTTTGGAGCCTGCTTCTTAGACGAGTCTTAACGTTCTTTACTGCACTGGCACCCCTCTCTGGCCATGCATTACTAACTGGCAAACTGACAAACTGACAACTACTTCAGCAATGTAGAGAAGGAGGGGGAAGAATGTAACAAAGGAAGATTTATTCTTAAGGAGATGAAGAAGAAACCATTCTGTAGTGGTGGTTCTACTTGAACCAGACTTCACTTCTATTGGAATCATCTTCTTAATGTTATCATTCACATGGTATTTCATATGAGACCACTCTGCTAGAAGCTTCTCTGATTTTAGCTTTTGGACTTCTTCTGTTTCAATCTGGAAAAAGTGTTTGGCTAAAATGTTGACACTGGAATGTCCAAACTCTTGAAAACCATCAGCTTCATATGCTGGCACATTTACTGGATCAAAGATACTGAGGGCACTAATAACATCAGAGCTTGAAACAAATCTTTGATCCAAATTATTTGATAGAGCTGCTACATTCTTTTGTGTAAGGCTTTGCATTTGTTGATGCAAGGTGGGGGGAAATGTGATATCACATCCAAGATTTGTAAAGCTATCGACATCTGCTTGTAGTTTTTCCATGGGGATGTCATCCTCAACAATTCTGTTCAAATGTTGTTTGGTTGCTTTGATTTGTGGTTGAATAAGGGAGAAATTTATGTTGCTGCTTCGAAATGTGTGGGAAAGACTTGAAAGAACTGGAAGAACCTCTGCTAAAATGTACAATGCTCCAATAAACTTTGCATTCTTCATCTTCTTTAAAAGGCCAGCTGCTGTGGCATCATTGTGTATGCTATCTAACTCTTGCAGTGTTTGTATTACACCACAGTGCTGTTGCTTCATAGCTTCTACTGATTTGTCAAAGCTTAGCCATCAAGTTTTGCAAGCTTTTTTCAGTTTTTTGGCCAACACCTTCTTGCCTTTTGTTGAGCTCACTCTCACTTCATTCACATTTGTTAGTACTTTCATCAATAATGCCATTCGCTTGGGTGAGTTCTCAAAATGCTTCCACATTTGTCTTAGTAACCCAGATACATCTTGAATGTATTTGGTGTCTTCATTAGAATCAGTACATGCAAGAGCTAGCCTGTGGCATACACAGTGTATAGCAATGATGCATGGATTATTTCGCTTTAGTTTAGAAGTTACACCCTCTCTTGTGCCTACCATGACAGATGCACCATCTGTTGCCAGCCCCATCAAATTTTTTACACTCAACCGTGATGAGAGAAGCTCCTCTTTAAGCAAGTCATAGATTTCCTGTGCAGTAGCTGCATCATGTTCTTTTAGCACATTCTGGGCAGAAAGAAAACTTGTCTCGACTGTTTCACTTTGAGTGCAAAAATACTGGACAAAAGTGATTAACTGAGAGGTGACACTAACATCTGTCATCTCATCAGTCATTAATCCAAAACAGCTTGCTGCTCTAACCCTCTTCAAAGTAAGTTATTTAACAACATTTCCAATTGTCAAGAAGATTTCAGTCAAAGACCCTTCAGATCTATGTTAAAAGTATTTGATTTCAGCCACCCCTATCACATTTGGTATAAAATTAATAAGTGGGAAGAATTTTCTGTTTGGCAAGTACTCTTTCATTACAAAATAAGCTGTTGAAAAGGCTTTCTCTAGGACTTATATTTTGGTTTCTTTTTTCTCAACAAACTCTTTGTGGAAAACAGACATTCTTGAGATCATCTCTGCTTCTAAAGCACTCATATGACGCCCTGACTTCCTGTGTGTTTCAATAGCATCTGACTTGAATCGGTCAGACGTTACTCCAGAAAATTTGTCAGTTTTGTTCTGGGGATTTGTAACTACATGTTTTTTACAAATGATACAGAACATTCCTTCCCTCTCAATATAGCAAAGCCACCAGTTGTCGATTTTTTCCACCCAGTCATGGTTAAGCTTCTTAGGCTTGATTCTTTGCAATTCCTGCTCAGTGGGTTTTGAACATTTGTTGAAACAGGTATAGTAGTTGTAAAGTTTACCTTGAGTGAAAAACTCTTTTATCAACGCTTCACACAGTACCTGTGACAACAGAGGATGGATGTTTGTGCTTTCGGCTGTTTTGTCTCCTTCATCAACACATGCTGCTGAATTACTTGTAGTGGGAATCGCTGGTGTTTGTCGATCCTGTTATAGGCAGTTTTCTCACTTTCATCAACACGTGCCGCTGAATCACTCGTCATGGGAATCGCTGGTGTTTGCCAATCGCCCACATCACTGGCTGTTTTCCCATTTTCATCGACACGTGCTGCTAAATTGCTCGTCATGGGAATCGCTGGTGTTTGCCGATCGCTATCACTGGCTGTTTTCTCACCTTCATCTACTTGGCTTTCCGTTCTTCGTGATTTACAGAAATATTGATCTATTCCAGGCTGGCTTGAAGTGGTACTCTATAATTAATTACATAATAAGAATTCCTGCCTTCTTCTAACACGCCGAACGCCACACCGCACTTGTTGACAACAAACACCGGTCAGCGGAATTTCGCAGAAGGTAGGAGGTGCGCATTGGCATTGAGTAATACGTTTTGCTGCTGAAAACGGCTTTCAAGTATTACTCGTTCGATTCATGCGACTTTTAACTTTGAAATCTATGTGTAGATACAAAATAAGGAGGCAACCTTATCACCGAAAAGTAGGCGGCTCTAAATTTAAAGTAGCCGGTTTTTTAGCTGGCTGCCGGCACTTAATGAGAACCCTGCTACTACTATTTTGTATAATTATGAGGCTATGCTGCATGCACTGCAAGCTCTGCTATCAATCAGGTATTACAGTTGTCTAAGTTTGCCAATGTGTTGGTACTGATAAATGCTTGCATACTTAAATCTTTTTTTTTTTTATTAAAGCTATTTGATTCCTAAATATTTTGAAGTGATAGCCAATTCTGAAAAAAGTTGGGTACCATTTTTCATAAGACACACATACCACTGGGACAGTCCAGCAATTCGCTTCCAACACATAATGGTCAAGGTGTTGGCCAGCTGTTGACTGACATACCTACCAATTATCTACTGATATTGATGACTGCCAGTCTACTGACTTGAAAAACATAGCGACCGATAGTCGGTCGACATGTCAACCAAGTATCAGCTGATATATCGACCGGCACCCAGTCGACATGTTAACTAATAATATAGATCAATAGTCTGTGTGTAGTCTTATGATCAAATTCTTCCCGAGATAGACATCTAAGGGAGCATTACCATTATGAGCCATGCAAAAGTAAACAAAGAGCCGAGCAAAATATGCAGTTTTCATTTGATATTAAAAGATTATGCAGATATGAAGCAAGCATTATGAATAATTGCTGATCCATCTTTAATTGAAAACTAGACCCTATTGTAATGTTAACTTAAGGTTCCTACATTAAGTAGGCTTGGTGGCAATAACTACCATAAAAGCCCACATATAAGCCACACTTTTTTCCCAAAAATCGTCCCTAGAAATTGGGGGTGCAGCTTATCTGTGGAAACATTTGAAAAAAATATCATGAATGTCGACGCCAATTTCCATTCAATTTGACGCATCCAGTCTAAAGCCTGGTTGCTAAGTTTTGAATGTTCCACTCATGTTCTTGTTGTAATGAAAAATTCTATGGAAAAACTGTGTTGAATGAAGAAACTCCTGTCAAGAAATACCAGGAAAAGACCAATCATATTTGAAAGTTGGTAGAAACAATGTTCGTTATATTAAAGTGCTAAAATTGTGGGTAAGACTTAGAAGTATTTTCCATTGCAATGTTAATATTGAGTTAACTTTCAATGAACAGTGGATGAAGAAGACTTCTCAAGACTCGACTTTGGATTTCTTTTGATTTCTTTCAAAAAACTTTTTTTTTCAAAATATGAGCTGCTAAATTCAGGGTGCGGCTTATCTGCGGGTGTGGCTTATCTCCGTGCTTTTATGGTAGTCTGCGTAGCTGGCAGTTTTGTTGGGGAGTGCCAGGGCAAGTTGCCAAGCTGCAAGAAAATTGAAAACAAACAAAAGAGACAGAATACCTCTGCTTCTCAGGCTACACAAATGCAACACCGTATACCATTCAAACATTTACTGTAATTAATACAACTCAAAACAAAATGTAATTCTTTTCAAAGTGAAACACCTTTATTTTGATTGTTTTCAAATTTAAGATGCCTGTTACAGATAGTTAGGGTTGTGCTATGAATTGTGTCACATCATGTGGTTATATCGTATGACTTTGGCCTATAGGTCTCAGTTCATTGAGATTTTTGGACTTTGGAAGTTTCCTTGAGATTTGTTTTTTGCCTTAATTTTTACTGTTAAACTTGCTTTAATTTTTCTTATAAATGGAACATATTTTAGGATGCCATCTCAGGAAATTAATACATGACTTTGTATATAAATAGTTATTTACTTGTAATGACGTCTGTCAATGACTTGCTTGTGTTTTAGATCTCCAGTTTGCAGAGTCTGTATACCCCACCAAGATTGAGATTCTTGAAACCTACAATCCTGGAGCAGTGGTTCACATCTTGGCCCTGGAGTCTGTTAGTTCATCTTCAAAGCTCAATAAACCCAGGTTAGTACTCTTGGTGAAGATAAATTTACAGTCCTCTTAGGTGCACAGACTCTTAAATAGTTAATTCAACAAAATGTGGTATTCCATGTTTCATCAGCAGCTTTCTGAGGAAAGCACCACTCTGATGTTTGAATTTCTAATTTTACAAGTATTCAAGATTTAAATAGTTACTTTTAATTACTTTCACATGCAAATTTAAAAAAGACCTCAAAGTCACTTCTATCATTTTGCCCTTGTTATTTATTATATATCTCTTCATCCTGAATGGTTAGGTCGGTACAAAGGTAGTTTTTTTTAGAACAGAGGTTATAAAAGATGTCGAACCACAATTAATTGAAAAGTCACTCTAACAATGGGCTAATGCTCAAGACATCAACCTTGGAAACTATTAATGGCTGCCAATTTACATGACTTTGTACATGATCAACTCAGTTGATAAATCCAAGTATCACATCAATGAATGTCCTACATAACCAACCAAAGGCACCTTTACTTCCTACAAGAACGAAGAAACTTTGGGATGATAGAACACATGAATCAAATTTTATTCTGTCTGGGGAGCAGGGATGGCGCAGTGGTGAGAGCACTCACCTCCCATCGCTGTGGTCCGGGTTCGATTCCTGGACCTGGCATCACATGTGGATTGAGTTTGTTGTTAGTTCTCGTCCTGGCAATTCTCTCTTAGGGAGCAGGGATGGCGCAGTGGTGAGAGCCCTCACCTCCCATTGCTGTGGCCAGGGTTCGATTCCCGGACCTGGCATCACATGTGGGTTGAGTTTGTTGTTGGTTCTTGTCCTTGCTCCGAGGGTTTTTCTCCAGGTTCTCCGGTTTTCCTCCCTTCGCAAAAAACCAACATTTCAAATTCCAATTTGATCTGGAAAAGTGGACAAGAAGAGCCACCCAGTGGGAGTCCATTGCTGAATTATTATTATTTAATTATTATTATTTATTTACTATTAATTAGTTAACTCTGAGGATTTAAATTTGCTCTAAGTTTATGATCAGGTGCCCTCTAATGGCTGATGCTCAAGCTTTACTTGGTCTTTTTGTTGTCTAGCTTTTTATTAGCATTTTATTGTTTTTGTTCAAGTGAAATACATAGGGATCTATAATTATGACATAATATTACTTTCAGTCAATAAGTATATACAAGTCATGTAATATTTTCCCCCTTCATTAATAACTCTATGTGAATATTACTATTAATACTTCATAGATGGAGAACCCTATGGTCAGGAGTTCCTCAAGATTGTCCACCTCGAGCTAGAAAATTTTCCCCACCCCTCAAAAGACTAAATCATCCCACAAAGTAAGATTCCATTATTTTATACGTCCAAAGTCAGTACATGATAAGTGACACTGCCTCATGCAGCTGATTTTTTAGTTAACCCTTATACCCTAATGTTATCTACATATTTTATACTAAGGTACTTACAAGAAAAATTTGATTAACAATATTTAATAACCTATCTGTAAGCTTTTGATATTTCTGTGGTACACTGTATAATTATGTCTGTGGTGTTCTTTACTGTGAATATCTGTGTGTCAGCAGTCAGTGACCAGCAGTTACCTTAAAATTAGGTGAGGGGAATTAGGTTTGACTTGTGAAATTGTTAATACTTAGGTATTTTTGGGAAAAAAAAGATTTGGAAATGCCATGCATACAACTTTCAATTGGTAATTTGGGAAAACTGTTCACCTGTCTTCATAAACTGAGACTGGAAAATTGTAGGCATGCAGGCAGGGTGGAATATGGTAAGCAAAATAATCTCCTTGAATAAGTGTTGGGGTACTTATTTAAATTTCCGCTGAAATCAGGGTTGTGTGCTGGAAAGGGGACACTCTGAATGTGCTTTATAACAATAATGTTTTAATTTCAGATTAATTCGACTGGAGTTCAATCAACGGCATCTTAGCTATTACACTGAGCTTGATGCCGTCATTTTGTATGGAACAGCAACTAGGAATGACTTACATCATAAAGAAATGACAAGTTTAGCACCATGTGATGATGCACAGGTGTCTATCACTACAAACTTGTTTGCTCAACTGTCTTTCAAGCCTGATGAGAAAGAGAAGAAAAATGGCAATCTGGAAGAGTTAGGAAGCAATGGATATTTTGATATTTTACCAGTAGGTCATTAAAATTAATATCTCTGGTAAACAGTTACTGTTTATCTTATGACTCCTAGGGTCCAATGCATGCTTTTGTCTTAAAACATAGAAAAGAGTCCCTGTATCAAGGCAGTACAACATTTTGCAGGGCTGGAAAAAAGCCCCAAATACATGTACCTGGGGAATACAAAATGGAAGGTGAATGGAAAAGACAGATAGAGCAGGGCTAGAAGAAAGAAATGCTTAATATTGAGTGAGTTAAGTTGGATGGGATGGAAACTAGAAAATATTTTGCTTGAGCTAAATATTTTCCCATGTACTCCTGGCTCCTCAAAGGGTAGACAATACTATCCAGTGGATAAATCCATAACTGGTAGATTGCAAAATATGTTTTGTTAACAACTACCGGGCTCGACACTAACTTTTCAACTTACTAGCCAAGTGGCTAGTGACAACAAGGATGTGATGATAATTTCAGTTTGTTTACTAGCCAGACTGACCAGTGGGAATAAAAAACCACTAGAAATAACTGAATTTCTACTTGTCTGTGGCTAGTTGGCTTCAGTTAGTGTAGAGCCCTGACCTATATGCCAGATAGCAATTTATCAGTTGAATAATCTTTCTTACAGTGTTCTGTGAGGAAACTGGGTCCTGGTCCTTGAATTTGTAGCACGCTTCCTATCAAGCAGGCACCCAGTATCAAACAGACCCACTGCAACTCAACTTCCAAGTTTTCTCCCCTGTTTTCTGTAGAGTCAATTCCCTTTCAATGGACTAAGCAGAATGCATTTAAATGTATGTTGCATGGAACATTTTCAGTATGAAAGTACAATTTAAGATTTAATTTATTCTTTAAAATGTATCTTCCAGTCAATATTAATTTTGAATGAGTGTTTTTCTGTCTTTCTTGATAGGATGAACTGATACACTACATCTTCTCATTCCTGGAACTTATTGACCTAATAAGTGCTGCATTTACATGTAGGTAAGGTCCTTGTACCAGTCAGTAGCAGTTGACTCAGACTGGGTCTAAATTTCTCACCTTTTTATGCTGTGGCAGATAGTCAAGTGTCAATGAACTTAATGTTAATAATTTATATAGGATTAATTGTATTTTTATCCCATATTCCTCAAGAGCAATCAGCATCTGATTTCCTTTTCCAGTGTCACTGCTGAATTAAAGATTATGAGGTTTTGAGAGACAGGAAATGTATGGAGAAGAGTATAGGGAATGTGCATGCTGATGTTAGAGTTTCTTAGAAAACTGCCCCAACATTTGCAAATGCAACTTTGAAATAATCATATCCATTGTGGAAAAGCAACAAAGAGGTACAGTAAACTTAAAAGGAAGACGGATGGAGCAATATGGTGAAGATTAACAAGGATTCTAAATAATTAAGATAGAGTCCATTCCAAAAGACTGTCTTTGGTTAGTCAAGGGGGGGTAGAAAGGAACAGGGGGGGAGGGAGACAGAAAAAGTGATGGACAGATAGGAAGATGGATGGGAAAGAAAGAGAGATGGATGGGAAAGAAAAAGAATAGAGGAGGATTGGAGAGGTGAAGACATTTTACTTGTAAAGTATAAACTATGACTGATGCAACTAAATGGTTGATTTAGAATTGCACAAGTGTGACATCATTTCTTTAATTTGGTTGAAATTAATGATTTCATGTGTAATTTTAACATGCAGATTGTTTTCCCGACATTGCTTTGACCCTGTTTGGTACAAAGAATTGGATTTGAAACCCTACTGGAGCCTGGTAATTGTTGCATCTTTAACTCCAGGTTAGTTTCATTTAAAACAATGGAGTGTCTGTGGCTCAGACAGAAGCTTTTTAAATCATAGAACGATGTGCTTGTGTCTAAAGGAAATATTATATTTACCTTCTTCAAACTGTTATGACCTCATTACTGAACTCAAAAGTGCTCTCGAATTACATGTTGATTTTCTTGTGTCTTGCTGCTCTATCCAGATAACAGATGTAACATTGGATCATCTTCAAAATTTTTGTACTTCCACTGAAAAGTTGGACCTGACCTGGTCAGGACCTTACGAGGCTGTTACCTGTCATGGAATTTTCAGGTATCATATTTTCCCCGCAAAAAGCCCAGTACTGAGGGGAAGATGAGTCTCAAGAGTGAAGTTGTAAATAATAAATATTCCCAAATCCTGTCAAGGAAAATTCAGTTCCTAATTGAGTGTTTCATTGGCGCGGACTGCGTAAGCTTCCTCTGGTAGATTTTAAGGGGGTGAAGAAGGGCATTTGTGAAGTTCCCCTGCCCCTCCCTCCAAACTGAATCAGCAGACCTCATCAAAAAGGGGAGAAAAAAGCCAGTAGTTACGTAACCGTAACAATAAGTGGCCTTTCTTATGTTGCAGTTATTTTCTTTACGTATAATTATTCTCTAATGGTCGACTGGAATGAAGAAGGGCAGAAAGGTCGGAAGGTTTCTTTTGAGGAGTTGTGTTGCATTTATTTTCACAGATTTCTGCAGAAGTGTGGAAGTAACCTTGTGTGTTTAAGATTAAGTTGCTGTCAGTTTGTGAACGGTGAAGTGATCAAGGCCATAAGCAAGTTTTGTCCTAATTTGGAAGGTTTGTTCCTCTTGAAAATTGTCTATTCTTTTGTTTTTTATCTTTCGCCTCGGTTGGGAAAAATACCTTTAAAGTGCAAGAAGCAGGTCACACAATTAAAAAAAACAAACAAAACAAAACAAAACAAATGTACCTTTTCCAGAGAAAGATCACAAAACATTGGTTGATTGAGATGGAAAAAGCCCGAAATTGGAAGAAGAAACCAATAATGGGACTGAGTATGGCAGAGGATTGAGATGGTTGACGCGGAACCTTGGGGC